TTATGATATTCCGAGGTTGCTGGATGTGAACAATATTTCGCAGCCCAAGTTCTCCGTGATTAACGGCACGCGACATTGTTTTTGTCTGTACGGGTAACAGGCAAATGAGGAATTCCTGCAGGTTGTTCATCCAGGCATCCCAGTTCCTTGTAGTTATGCTGTTTAGTTCCTCATCAAGGCTTTGGCGGTGTATATCATCAGCGAGAGGTAGACAGACCTAGTTGGGAAGGACGAACATGACCTTGTGCACAGCTGTTGCAACGTTCTGTGTAAAACAAACTGTATAATATAGCTGGGTACTGCGTGTAAATCAGTAGGCGTTATTTTTTAACTAAATAAACCTAGGTTTCAACTCTGGCAGTCCGACAGAAAACAAGCTTGGTTCATCAGACTCCACAAACGGACTCACTTGAATCGTAAGTATCTTCAATTTGACCACTATACATGAATCCTGCAAATCCGATACTTATTCGGCAATTCGGAAAAATAAAAAAACCCGGCCAGGAGAAGTAATGTATTTTAAGTAAATAACGACAGAACTATGAGCTCGTTTTTGAATAGCAAAGCAATTCAGTTAAATGTTTAGATAAGCGGGGATTTTTCGGTCGATGGCAGTTGGCAGCAAACAGGTCAAGGCTAGTCGTCCCAGTAAAAATGATTCTGAAGAAATTTTCCGGAGTGAATCAGCCCTCTAAATTCAGTCTGCTAGGGCTCACGCTTTGTTGACCAACTACATCGGGTATCTCCTTTCTATTGAATTCATTATGGACATTTGTCGAGGAATGCTCAGAATGCTCGCAGGAAAAGTATGCGTAACACTTAAAAACTGCTTTGGCGGACTAATAACCCAGCAAATAGTAAAGTTTACCTCAAAACAGTTTGTCAGTAACTTGATTATTATAATTTAAATAACATAACAATAGGGGTGACAAGCTTCCAATATTCACGTAAAACACGCGTCAACTGAAGCGTATACTGCACAAACATAAAAATTTCCTTCAGAAATCTGCTCCGTAGAAAAGTTCGCTCAGAAATTCCAATTGAAAGCCGTGTAACTTCCACGAATTAAACCCAATAACAAATTGTTCCATGCGACTTTATTTTTATTGTGTGGACATCCAGTAACAAATATCCTGGCGCAAAATAATCAATTGGCACTGGGTGAAAGGATACGGAGGCTGTCGGGAACTATCAATTCAAGCGTAAGGGCTACCTAGAAGGAATAAACCGCCAAATGCTTCGCGGTATTTAGTTAAGTCCTCTGAAAGAGGAGGAAAATTTCCAGGCCATAAAGTAAGTCAGTCTAAGGTTGACCGCCCTGGTGGAACGCCGTGGCTATGCTTGGGGCTGCCAGACAGACTGTATGCTCGGCTTGGAGGTGGCACACCATGCCAACAACCGGTCAAGGCCAAATGTTGTCTGTGTCGGAATGATTTAATACAGTCTGACAACAAACCGACATTCATGATAACCGTCGCCTGGAAGCTGAAACTCATGAATACTTTACTTGGGCTGTCTCGTGGAGGATTGGCCCGGTAGAAACATCGGGCCAAGGTCAGACGCTGTCTGGGTCGCAGCCCAATGATTCAAACTGACAACATTCGGACGACCACAGTTGTTGTGTTTACCAAACACCATGACTGAAACCATTAATTACCGTTTAAAACACGAAAAAATGTTTTTGCACGGGTCTATTGTGGACGCAAGATAACATATAGCGCTTTCGGTCACCTTTGTGAGGCAACCTCGCGAAATGAACCAGCGCAGTGGCATGCATCTTCTTTTCAGAAAGTTTGAGTATTTTCATTGGTTTGATGTGAAATTATTACTCCTCCAAAATGTTGGATTCGAGGAACAGACTACGTTTGTTCTCAAAAATATCCTAAGGCCTTTCTATCCTCTGGAATAACCCGAAATTCTATGCTGGAGGCCATGTCTTTCTGTCTCCAGGATAAGACCAATTCCTACGCATAAAATACCGTAAAGCATAAGTATTGCGTTTTATGCGTTTGAAGGCACGATCGATGGGAGGGCGGATATGAGGCAGCAAGTCAAATTCGTTCTGTGTCTGAAAGGCTCTTCATTAAAGCAGCTAAGCAGATTATTTAAGCAGGAAATAATGTCCACTGAAACGAACATTCAGATTTTTCTAGAAAATATCGAATTGGCCTGGTCTTCAAAAAATGACTGAATCACGCAGTTGGTTGACCACATTCATATCGACCTGTCACTTTTTTACTTAACCCTGGATTTGTGCGCACGTTATAAATACATGTGCTTTGATTAAAAAAACCTGCTAGTGCTTAAATTACTACTGTTCACTGGGGGAAATTGCGTGCCCAAAGTTGGACCACAAGTCGTAGCAATTAGTGCACATGTAGTGGTAGCTGTCTAGAAATCCTATTTTATTCACTTCAGCAGATGTTTCAGGCGTTTTTGGCCTTCACTATACTGGTAACACTGTGGAGGGAAAACAGTTATTTTCTAGTGAATACACTTCAGCTCTGAACTTCAAGAAAGTTAAAATCTAGGTTTACCTCCCAATGGGCAAAGGAAGCCGCGTTTTATAGTGGAAAATGACTGGTAGGTCCGTTTCGGTCCTCATTGTCTCCCTAGGTAAATCGAAAGTACCATACCTCGAGCGACATGATCCTCCATTATGTGCCCTACAGGGGCCCAGATCGATAAGCCCTGAGACATATTATTCGACTTGGTTGAAAATGTACTCTTTGGTTCCAATCAAAGATTGGAATCCGCACAACAACTGGTTAGGTCGCTTTCACAATAACGTGGGTCCACTCAGAAGAAGCAAAGTAGCCGCTTTTATTGTTGGGTTCTGGGCCCAAAACGGGCTACCCAATTGGCGACCAGAATGGCACGCAGTATGTGCTTATCCGGTTGCCACTGCACCAGAGCCCGCCACCGATCGTTTTGACTCCTTCATTTCACCGGAGCTGGACGGCTAAGGGCAGGGAGAGTATGGAACAGGCTTCGGAAACCTGCCTCACCAGAAACTGATTCACGTGCCGGTCTCTGGTGTCATGCCCACTAAGAGGGGGGGTGGCTCCCTTCTGACGTTGTCGTTCGCAACAGTTGCGCTGCCGTCGAATCGTCAGGGGCAATTTGAGGTGGCGGGCCCCTTTCTTTAATTCTGATCCAACTTTGCCGGCAAGTGACCCTATCCTGCCCGCGCTGAAAAAAAGGTAGCTCCCACTATCAGTGTCCAGCCGCCCAAACCACTTAGAGCTGTTTGATCTTCACAGTGACCAAAACCTGCGAAAGAGACCCCAACCTTCACGTCTCGCTTTAGGTGGGTTACTTAAAAAATATTTGCAACAAATTCTCACATTTCTCCTTTAGCATCTATACTGTTCAGTTCACTATTCTTATTTCTGCACGGATCTCTTGAATTATCTCCTCACGTCCGCGGAAGTGCGGTCTGAAGAGTAAAAGTGGACTATGATACGTGTGCGCGCTGATTGTGCAGTTTTTCCAGTGTTGAAATGGAGATAAACTTTCTTTTGGAAACATGCTGTTATACTAAAGGTCTTTAAGACATGTCACCGTTACCGTCCCTGCACCAACCTGTTTGGAGTAGACGGTGGACAGCGTCGAACTCGATGGTCGAATTGTCTTAAGCCACTACGTGTGAGAACCTAAATTCGTAGGCGGACGAAAGGCCTGAAATTTCACCTGGTAGCAGGCTGATGGACTGGTGAGTCTCTCCCCGGAGTGAGTCTCGCCCCGGCATTGTTCAGAGCCGGACGTCGGCAGTCTGAAGGTCATTCGTAGGCCCCTGTAGCGTGACGTCAACGTGTGTGAGGCCGCACAGGGCCCAGCCCCTTCGCACGGGGGAAGGCCGGCATGTGCAGTTAGTCTTGTCTCGAGCGCCTGTGAGCCACCCAAAAGCCAGTTCCAATT